AATTTTATTTAACAGGGGAAACTGCATCAACTGTGGTTTAGCTTTACAGACACTTTTTCATGTCAATCGTAAAATGTGTGAAATCCCTATATTTATCATGCTCTCATCCTGGGTAGGAAAGACTATTTGTAATGATTTTTCAAATAATCTAAAAATCATTTAACTGGGGCCGGTGGGTGGCAAGGTGGTTAAGGTGCTGGACTCCCACATGGTCAACTGCGGTTCAAATTCTGGACCTGGTGGCTTGCTTTCTCATTTTCTCTCTCTCTGTCTCTAGTAAGTGCATGAACCTGACAGCAAATAATATTATGATGAAATAAATAATTCTTTAAAAAAAATCATTTCACTGTTGAAAAAGGATGCCTAACTTTTAACTGTTTTACATTATAAATCTTATACCCAAGAACTGATGCATACCCTTATTTATGCCTTTTACACATAGATATCATTTATCCAGTATAGTAAGAAAAATAATCTTTTTTTTTTTGGAGAAGTTTTTGCTATATGGTACGTGCGCTCACCAGACAGACAGAGAGAGACAGAGAGACAGAAAGTGAATCACTCCCCAGGGGGGATGGTCACGCCGCAATCCCTTCTCCTCCATTTTCCTCTTGGGATCTTGGAAACGCACGCACACGCGCCCGGCGTGAGTTTTAAGCCACCGGGTCCGGGACGCGAACCGAGGTCGACTACATGGGAGTCCAGCGACATAGCCATTATGCTAACTGCTGGTCCCAGAAAAATAAACTTTTAACATAAGTTATTTTTCAATATGAATTACTTATAATGTAACGAACAGAAAACATTTGACACATTGTAACCTATTTACAAAAACTTCTAAACCTAGTTACAGTATCACTGAGATCACTTTAAATGCTAGGCAGCAGGCACTTTGCTCTTCAGAGGAAGATGTGTGTGTATGTGTGGACCATCTACATATATTATTTATTTCACAAATAAGTTTATTTATTTTCAATGTTTTTCCACTACTATGCTAAAATATCCTTTCCTTCATGAGATTTTTTTTTTGAGGTTTGCTTATTTGAGTAAATTCTCTGGATTTTAACAGTTTTTCATACCAAAATACATTTAATTTTACATGAACTTCCATTCCAAATATAACTGAAATTATAGCTGACTTTTCTGCAGGTAACTATAAATATATAATGAAATGAATACATTCTCTCCTCTTGTGAAAGTACATATTAGAGTACTACAAATGAATATTATGAAATGTACATTATGAAAGCATATACTATAGTTATCACAAATGCTGTATGCGTGATCTTTCAGCAGAACAAATTGTTCTAAGGATTATACAGTGATCCATTTAAATAACAATTCCAATGCTAGCTGTGGATCAGAATCACTTCAGAGTTTTCTAGAAGTAGTTTTCCACGGTCCAGCAGAGCATTATGACGCACAGCAAGAACTC